GTGTAGGTTGTTTGGAGAATGAGCTGCAGGTGAACAGTGGGTGGAACCAAAAAAGACGGTGGTGCCAGATTCTCCGCCCAGCTCCAAACACGACACACAAGACACAGAGGGGAGGGGAAGACAGCACAAGGGAAAAAAACAGGAATCCTAACAGTGTTTTGGATGAGGTATTAATATTCTAACTTGTCTTAAAGCTCGCAATAGTCAGTTTAGCACAAGATACGACCGTTAATTTAATAAGCATTCTAATGATATTCTGCCTGCTACAAAGTCATCACTGATCTGACAATTTTAATAAAACTGTAAAAATGAGGGTTACCGCCAGGCCAGACTAAATCAATATAAAACCTGACACTGGCTCCTCCATAGACCCGATCTATCTGTTATTGTGGATGCATTAATGCTTGTTGCTTGTTGATCTAAATCATTGTAATTGTGGTTCATGAGTCAGCCCCATGGAAGTTTGGAAGCAGAACATGGCGCAATACTTATAACAGTGAACGACATTTCTGGGAAGTGAATAAATATGGTGTTGTTAGATGTGTCATCAGCTCAAACGGTGCTTTTGATTTTTTTTATAGTTGTGGTGTAATGATGATCACAGTATGGTGAAGGACTTCAAATTAATCAATACTTGTAATAGCTCCTAATCGATAATAAAACTAGTGTTAAACGTAGATACTCATTTAAACAAGAATATACTGAAAAAAAACACACAAAAAAACAGGACCTGGGCTGGGTATCATTAAGAAGTTGCTGATATGATACATACCTCGATACATAGGCCACGATACGATACATATCTCGATACATAGGCCACGATATCGTACATGTCTCGATGCATAAGCCACGATACGATACATACCTCGATACATAGGCCACGATACAATACATATATCGATACATAGGCAACGATACGATATATATCTTCATACATGGGCCACGATACGGTACATATCTCAATACATAGGCAACGATACGGTACATATCTTGATACATGGGCCACGATACGGTACATATCTTGATACATGGGCCACGATACGGTATATATCTCGATACGTAGGCCACGGTACGATACATATCTCGATACATAGGCCACGATACGATACATATCTTGATACATAGGCCACGATACGATACATATCTTGATACATGGGCCACGATATCGTACATGTCTCGATGCATAAGCCACGATACGATACATAGGCCACGATACAATACATATTTCGATACATAGGCAACGATACGATATGTATCTTTATACATGGGCCACGATACGGTACATGTCTCAATACATAGGCAACGATACGGTACATATCTTGATACATGGGCCACGATACGGTACATATCTCGATACGTAGGCCACGGTACGATACATATCTCGATACATAGGCCACGATACGATACATATCTTGATACATAGGCCACGATACGATACATATCTTGATACATGGGCCACGATATCGTACATGTCTCGATGCATAAGCCACGATACGATACATAGGCCACGATACAATACATATTTCGATACATAGGCAACGATACGATATATATCTTTATACATGGGCCACGATACGGTACATATCTCGATACCTAGGCCACGGTACAATACATATCTCGATACAGTGAGCTTACAATTCGATACGATTCAATACATTTCAAATTGATTCGATATGGTTCAGTAAAAAATATAGGCTAAATCATGGCTTTGTTAAACTGCTTCCTGTGCAAAGTTCATATGAAACACAAACATTTAAATCCTCAAAACAGTGAAAATGTCAAATGTGTTGCATAAACAAGTTTCCTTCCTCTGAACAAGCAACAAAGCTGTAGCTGTAACAAAATAATTTAGTAAAATACACCAAAAAATACTCTTGGCAATATATCGATACCGCAGCCCATGATATCCATACTGCATCATTACATTAAACGATACAATATATCGATATTTCAGTATTTTTGCACACCCTTACACAGGACAAAATGTGACCTTTCCGAAATAGTTTTGAATGGGTTTGAGGTACTGATACTTTGCAGCTGATGTCATCAACGTTCCTTGGGATTGTGAAGCTAATGTGTGCATTGGTGTCACCATGGTAACTGCTGAATATTCTGTCAATATAGATACATGTAGAACACCCCCAGCATGATGACACTGCATAGTATCAACATCAGAACTTAGGGGTGTAACAATATCCAAGTCTCACGATACAATATTGTCACGGTATGAACCTCATGGTACGATATTTATTGCGATATCGTGGGAAAGCTCAAGATATGGTGGGGAGGCTCATGATTAGTGATGTAACAATATCCAAAACTCTTGATATGATATTTTCACGATATACATCTTACAGTACAATATTTATTGCAATATTTTGTGGAGGCGAACAAAACTGTTAATATACTATTTATATATACAGAACTTTTTCCATTGTGTTTGGACACTTTGGTGGTTTAAATGACAACATCAGTCACTCGTATCACTGCAGTACTTTACCATGTCCGTATCACTGCCTGTGGGTCTGGTAGTCGGTGTTGTGGTGAGACAACACGCTACTCTCCCAGTCCGAGACACGAAACATAATAAAATGCTTCAGGCTCGGACGTGGCGTCAAATCCGAGGTCCAAGTAGGAGTCAGAAGATAATTGAACGCAGGGAAAATGTGACCTTTCCGAATAGTTTCTGAATGGACTTGAGCGACTGATACTCTACAGCTGATGTCATCAACATTTCCGGGGGGTGTGCATTGTGTCACCATGGTAACTGCTGAACAATCTGGCAATATAGATACATGAAGAACACCCCTAGAGTGATGACATTGCAAAGTATCAACATCAAAACTACAATAAGAGTATATGATCATTTGAAAAGAACTGCTATTTATTTGTGTTGAAAATGTAGGATAAAGGATAAGATAAGATATGAGTTTTGTTTTAGGAAAAGAAATGTAATAGCTGTCACTTTTGGTTTATTATGTTAGAGCGGGTAGGCTTTTATAAGTTTCTCTCTGTTGATATGATTAGACCCTATCTGCTAATTAAAAAAGTTTTACAGATAATCAATCAGTAAAGTTGCTAAAATGAAAAAAAAAATGTCTGAAAAAAGTTTATTATAATTTTGGTTGTGAAATTGTTAGCCAGTTTCAAGCCTTTTCCTCAGTATTGAAATCGAGTCTGAAATTTTACTATCATGATAACAGCACTTTGGTGTTTTTTGAATTCCAATCAGGTGAGATTTCTCCTTGTTTTCCTTCTCTGCAAACTCCAAAGTCAGTGAAATCCTGGAAATGGGTCAGAAGTTTTCTCTGTGGTCTTTTGAAGTCCATTTTAGGTCAGCTCAGTTAGTGACCTGCGTCTGTTTCACATAAAACCCCAGAGACGCTGTTGTAAATCAGTGTAGCGTTAGTGTTGGCATTAGCACGTCAGACTCTTCATTTGTGCTTCACCTTTTAGCTCTCCTCCACAGAGACATTCAACTCCAGAGCTTTGTGTAATCTTAGGTCTGGTGTCCCATTTGTTATTAGTATTGTGTATGTAACGGCAACACTCGTTATCTTTTAGGACATTTTATTTTCTATATTGTGCAAAAGTAGATTCTTGTGAGCTTTAAGACCTGTTATAATGTTTTGTTTCATTCACACATGTTTGAAATATCCTGGTTCATTAGTCTGTCTACATCTCAATCTCAAAATGCTCTGCTCCACCTTGTGATGTCAAGTAGTTGTCGTATTCAAGTGAACAGCTCCTTTTGTTTGTTTAATAGAGGCTGGCAATTCTATACCTGAAATCATCCAAAGATTGTAGTGAAGGTGTTTGGAGTTTAAAAACACAATGGAGCACTTCCTGTATCACAGCATGACATCACAAGTTGGAACAGTGTTTTCTGTTTGAGAGAAGAACTCGGCTGTAATATGCAGGATTTGTTTGTTAAACATGAGTAAACAAAAACAAAACACAACTCCATTTGTGATGAGGAAATAACATGAGAAATGAGTGTAATCTGAGCCAGTATGTAACTTTTTAAAGCTCACGTACTGTCAGCACTAGGCCTGGGTATCATTAAGAAGCTGTTGATACGATACATACCTCGATACACAGACCATGATACGATACATATCTTGATACAGTGCACTTTTGGTTCAATACAATACGATATATTTCAAATCGATTTGATATGGTTCAATAAAAAATAAAGGCTAAATCATGGCTATGATACTAAAAGTCTTTGTTAAACCACTTCTTGTGCAAAGTGAATATGAAACACAAACATTTTAATCATCAAAACAGTGAAAATGTCAAATGTGTCGTATAAATGAGTTTCCTTTCTCTAAACAAACAACAAAACTGTAGCTGTAACAAAATAATTTAGTAAAATATACCAAAAAATACTCTTGGAGACATATCTATACAGCAGCCCACGATATCAATACTGTATCATCACATTAGACGGTACAATATATCGGTATTTCAATATTTTTGCACACCCCTGTGAGCAGGCTTGCATCTCCACAAACCTGACTCTTACTTCGCCTGGAGGAGGGTCTGCTCCTGCTGTTCCTTTAGCGATATTTCCATGGAAACCTGCAGAAAGTCATACACTGTAATTTTAAATAATTTAAGGTCAGTACAGTAGTAGAATTTAGTCTAAATCTTTCCTCTAAAAATTGTGATTTGAACTTTTTTGGCACATTATTATCACATGAAAGAAAATCATTTAAATCTCACAATGATAATTACAGAAAATGTTCCCTGTCTAGACAGTACAAGGTAATTTTGAACAGAAAATAATAGTAATTTTATAATACTCTCATCTTTAGATCAACTGAAACTATTCAGTACAGGTCTATGTTTATTCTGATTGTGTGTTTTTGGAATACTTTAGTGAGTATCTACTTTCGACAGTGGTCTGAGTATTGATTAGCCTTTTTAATACAGTACAGTATCCTGTTATTTAGTTGATGTTTGTGTTTTTAATGTGCTCTTTGTTGTTTCTGCAGGCGAGGTCTGAACCCCCCTCACAGAGTAAAGTCCATCTCGATGACCACCTTCACACAACAGGAAATCGAGTTCCTACAGAAGCACAGCAATGAGGTACACACTGATCATTTCACTTTTTTTTTTTTTTTTTTTTAGAGATAAACATGTTTGGGTTATAAAAGTCAGATCTGTTTATTCAGCCCAACCAAGCTGCTCTTTTAAAAGTTAGTAACATCCTAAAAACGATTCACAATGTCACTTTGAGCAGCTCATCCATCAAGTAGAAAGTGGTATTATAATAAAAATGGGACTTTTTACACGTTACCTTCAAATATGATTGAATTTTGTGTCTTTTCATATTTATTGTTTTGACATTTAGTTAGATAAACAAAATTATACATACAATTAAAAACATTTTATGTCCAAACTGATGCTCAGTAGTTCCTCCTCTTTTTTTACATTACATTTCTACTACTACTACTATTACATTTCTACTACTACTACATTTCTACTACTACTACTACTACTACTACTACTACTACTACTACTATTACATTTCTACTACTACTACTACATTTCTACTACTACTACTACATTACTACTACTACTACTACTACATTCTACTACTACTACTACTACTACTACTACTACTACTATTACAATTACATTTCTACTACTACTACTACTACTACTACTACTACTACTACTACTACTACATTTCTATTACTACTACTACGTTTCTACTATTACTACCACATTTCTTCTACTACTACTACTACTACTACTACTACTACTACTGGGGGTGGGCATGATTAATCGATTAATTGATAATTGATCATTAAGAATTTCATCGATTACGTTAATTTTAATTGACAAACTGAATGTAGGTTTGTGTGTGTATCGTGACCAAACAGGTGTGTACATGTGTCTCTGCACTCAGAAGGAGCGAGACACAAACAGTGGGTCAGTCTGCAACGTACCGAAGCACAAATGTGTGTTTAACGATGATTTGTACAAGAAATGCCACACTTTCCGTTGTGTTTGGGACAAGTGTGAGTCCATGTGCACAGTGTATAAAGCAGCACATATGTTTCGGTGTCCAGTGGGAAAAAGTTTTACCAGGTGAGAGTCGTGCAATGTGGATGACGAGTCCCCACCTCCCTCCCCCCGTACGGTGTCCTGGTTTTGACAAACGCAAATCTGGTCACACTAACCTGTATTCACCTGAGTCATGTCTTTTAATCCAACAGAAAGAGCTGGAGTTTTATCTTCGCTCAGTTTATGCAAATTAGTGATGCGGTTTTAAGTTTTGTTTCTGTGAGAGTTGCGCAAAACTGAATTAAACACATTATAATGTCAAACAGCTGATGTGGATCTAGAGTCGTTACTGTTTATATGTCATAAAGTTGAATTTATTGATGCAGATTAGTGCAGATAGTAATAATAATGATGATCATTTTAATATAAAAACGTTAATGATTAATCGATAATCGATTGTTAATTCTTCCGACGATCGATTAAGAACATTTCATCGAATGCCCATCCCTAACTACTACTACTACATTTCTACTACTACTACTAGTACTACATTTCTACTACTACTACTAGTACTACATTTCTACTACTACTACTAGTACTACATTTCTACTACTAGTACTACATTTCTACTACTAGTACTACATTTCTACTACTACTACTACATTTCTACTACTACTACTAGTACTACATTTCTACTACTAGTACTACATTTCTACTACTAGTACTACATTTACTACTACTACTACTACTACTACATTTCTACTACTACTACTACATTTCTACTACTACTACTACATTTCTACTACCACTACTACATTTCTACTACCACTACCACTACTACATACTACTACTACTACTACTACTACTACTACTACTACATTACTACTACTACTACTACTACTACTACTACTACTACTACTACTACTACTACTACTACATTACTACTACTACTACTACTACTACTACTACTACTACTACTACTACTACTACTACTACTACTACTACTACTACTACTACTACTACTACTACTACTACTACTACTACTACTACTACTACTACTACTACTACTACTACTACTACTACTACTACTACTACTACTACTACTACTACTACTACTACTACTACTACTACTACTACTACTACTACTACTACTACTACTACTACTACTACTACTACTACTACTACTACTACATTACTACTACTACTACTACTACTACTACTACTACTACTACTACTACTACTACTACTACTACTACTACTACTACTACTACTACTACTACTACTACTACTACTACTACTACTACTACTACTACTACTACTACTACTACTACTACTACTACTACTACTACTACTACTACTACTACTACTACTACTACTACTACTACTACTACTACTACTACTACTACTACTACTACTACTACTACTACTACTACTACTACTACTACTACATTTACTACATTTACTACTACTACTACTACTACTACTACTACTACTACTACTACTACTACTACTACTACTACTACATTTCTACATTTCCTCCAGGCCGAATAAGAGTCAGGTTTGTGGAGATGCAAGCCCGCTCAGATTAAGGATGCATGTTTTTCTGTGTTTCAGTGCAATAAAAACATCCATCATGAACAGATATGCTTTTATTTTAGTTCGTCTTTTGACAAAAACAAAAGTTACATACTGTGGCTTTAACTTGAGTACATATCTTGGCCACTTCACCCACCTCTGATAATATGAAATGAGCACAGTACTTGCCAGTTTAACATCCTCTTCCTTCAGTGACAAATGTTGTCAGCCTTCCCGCTTGTGGAGGGTCTGTCTTTCATTCAGAAGGTATGCTAGGGCCACTGCTTACTCAGCTTTATTGGCATTCCTCTTTTTTTTCCCCTCTCCACCCTTGCCCCCTTTTTTTCCTCCTACCACTCTCTCCCCCATCCCCCCATCTCATAGGTCTGTAAACACATCTGGTTGGGCCTTTACGATGACCGGACATCGGTGGTGCCAGATTTCCGAGAACCCCAGAAAGTGAAAGAGTTCCTACAGGAAAAATACGAGAAGAAGAGGTGGTACGTGGACTCGTTTTTTTCGCCGCCACCGCCTACATTTCATTTCCTAAGGCCTGGGGGTCCACTGCATTCATATAAAACACAAAGAGGCTTCAGTTACTGCTATTTAAGGAGACCTATAGTGGAGAAAGTTGACATACTGGCTCTGCCACCAGCTCTCATTTTTCACTTATTCTTAATATTGGCTTCAAGTTTGAGGTCTTGTTGGTTTTACCTGATCTTAAAAACATGAGAAACACACAAAAAGGTTTATTTTAAATGGTTTGCAGGGGTCCAAAGTTTTCCTCACTTGCCTTATGCATTTTGAGGATCCTTTGAGTTTATAAGCACTTAACAACTCTCAGTCAACAGAGTGAAGTGAGTGAATTTTCACATAATAAAGCTAACAATAACTAGCATGCTAATGTGTACTTCCTGATTATCAGACAGTAGAATGTAGGGGTGTGCAAAAATATAGAAATATCATATCGTTTAATGTGATGATACAGTATTGATATCATGGGCTGTTAGATCAATAAATCTCCAAGAGTATTTTTTGGTATTGTGACGGAGCAGGCTCGTCCCTAAGAACGCCGTCCCTGGGGAGAGCACGTGAAGACGCGCGCGCCCGTTTCCGTATTCTTTGCGCACCGCTCGCCGTACCATTTCATACCAAAATCACTGTTTTAAAAATAAAAAATTCCCAACACCTCCTGCGTGTCGTGCCGCGACTAAGGGTGCACACTTAGAAGCGCTTGTTCAATTCATGTAAAGCACGCTTAACCAGACATTTACTTCCCCTCGCGCCGCCGCCTTCGCCCTCCTACCGTGGGGTGTTCTGGCAAACCCGGACACATCTGCGCTGGGAGCTTAAATCCTGTCGTTGCGCGGGTTCAGGGGATCAGGTGAGCAACAATTCATTTGCATGGCCAATTAAATGTATTGTCGGTCTCGCAGACCACATATACAAAACCTATTCAGTCTGGGCGCAAGCTGTTACGCGTATATAACAGTCAAGCGAAGGAACGTAGGTCGTTTAATCGTAGAAACGGCGTAATCACGATTATTGGGGGGAATTATGTAATGTGGGAGGGGCAAACGGGAATATAAAGGTGCGCTCTCCAGCTCTGTCACCAGTCGCGACCAGGTTACGGTGGAGGTAACTTGTGTGGAATGAGCCAGAGCGAACGAGCGACCGAGAGCGTGAGTGAGAGAGCGAGCGAGCAAACGCTGCAGGACTTAAAGGGGAAGTCCACCAAAAACTTATTTTGGTTTTTTGTTTTTCACACCACCACTGTAAATATTTTTCCACTCACGTTTGGCACCTTTTGCACTGTTGGAGAGCACAATAAATCACCGAAAAGCATTTCCTGGCTAAGCCTGAGGTTTTTTTTTTTTGGAAGAACCCCACCACAGGTATATTTTACAAAATTATTTTGTTACAGCTACAGTTTTGTTGCTTGTTTAGAGAAAGAAAACTCATTTATGAGACACATTTGACATTTTCACAGTTTTGATGATTAAAATGTTTGTGATTCATATTCACTTTGCACAGGAATTGGTTTAACGAAGACTTTTAGTATCACAGCCATGATTTAGCCTTTATTTTTTTATTGAACCGTATAAAACTGATTTGAAATATATCGTGTATTGAGTATTTTTTGGTTTATTTTACTCAATTATTTAGTTACAGCTACAGTATTGTTGCTTGTTTACAGAAAGGAAACTTGTTTATGCGACACATTTGACATTTTCACTGTTTTGTTGATTAAAATGTTTGTGTTTCATATGAACTTTGCACAGGAAGTGGTTTAACAAAGACTTTTAGTATCACGATCATGATTTAGCCTTTATTTTTTTTAATTGAACTGTAGCGAATCGATTTGAAATATATCGTACTGAATTGTACTGAATTGTACTGAATCGAAAGCTCACTGTATTGAGATATGTAACGCATCGGTAACATCTGTATGATACCCAGCCCTAGTAAAATGCGTTATAATTAAATGCAGAGAACTTAAATGACCTCAACTGCTGCTTATACAATATATCTGTACTGGGGCAAGAGAACTTTTGCTCAAATACATGGAAAAAAATAGGTCCAGGGCCTTTAACCCTTAACATTATGTAAATGTCATTATCTGTGGTAGAGCTCCTACTCTTTTAAACCATATTATATATTTAAAAGTCCTAGATTAGTGTTTTCTGATCTTTTATGATTTTTCCTCATCATAAACAGACCTGGAGTTGTGTTTGTTTCATTCACATGTTTAACACAAACGTTGTATATTTTGGCAGTGGTCTTTTCTCAAATTGAAAACACTCTGTTCCACCTAGTGATGTTATGTGGTAATGCAGTGCTCCACTATGTTTTTAAATACAACTTCACTAGAATCATTTGGATCATTTCAGTCCTGGAATTTCTAGTGTCTATTAAACTAAAGGTAAAAGGAGCTGTTAACTTGAAAACTTGAAAACTGCTTCATGACATTACAAGATGGAACAGAACATTTTGAGCTTTGGAGATGCAGAAAAGGTTACTCAAACATGTGTGTATTTAACAAAACATAATCCAGGGATGTTTATGAGGAGGTGACAACATTATAACAGCTTAGAGCTCACAAGAGTCAACTTTGTGTAATATAGGACCTTTCAGCCCCTCCTTGAACCGTCACCTTATCGTGGTGGAGGGGTTTGAGTGCCCGAATGATCCCGGGAGCTATGTTGTCGGGGGCTTTATGCCCCTGGTAGGATCACCCAAGGCAAACAGGTCCGGGGGGACGGGTCAGACGAAGAACGGTTCAGAAGCCCCTTATGATGAGTGCAACACAGAGGCCAGTTACGTCGCCCGGATTGGCGTCACCGGGGCCTCACCCTGGAGCCAGGCCTGGGGTGGGTGCTCGTCAGCGAGCGCCTGGTGGCCGGGCCTTCCCCCACGGGGAGCGACGTGGGGCCGTCCTCACGTGGGCCCACCACCCGCGGGAGGAGCCATATGGGGCCGGTGCAGAGAGATCTGGGCGGCAGTCGACGGCGGGGGCCTCGACGACCGGATCTCCGGACATGGAGACTAGCTCTGGGGACATGGAATGTCACCTCGCTGGGGGGGAAGGAGCCTGAGCTTGTGCGGGAGGTTGAGCGTTACCGACTAGATATAGTCGGCCTCACCTCCACGCACAGTTTGGGCTCTGGAACCCAACTCCTTGAGAGGGGCTGGACTCTCCATTTCTCTGGCGTTGGCCGCGGGGAGCGGCGGCGGGCTGGTGTGGGCCTGCTCATTGCCCCACAGCTCAGCCGCTGTGTGTTGGAGTTCACCCCGGTGAACGAGAGGGTCGCGTCCCTGCGCCTTCGGGTCGGGGACAGGCCTCTCACTGTGGTGTCGGCCTACGGGCCGAACAGCAGTGCAGAGTACCCGGCCTTCTTGGAGTCCTTGGGAGGGGTACTAGACAGTGCACCGACCGGGGACTCCGTTGTTCTCTTGGGGGACTTCAACGCCCACGTGGGCAACGACAGTGACACTTGGAGAGGGGTGATTGGGAGGAACGGCCTCCCTGATCTGAACCCGAGCGGTGTTTTGTTATTGGACTTCTGTGCTAGTCACGGTTTGTCCATAACGAACACCATGTTCGAGCACAAGGGTGTCCATAAGTGCACGTGGCACCAGGACACCCTAGGCCGGAGGTCGATGATCGACTTTGTAGTCGTGTCATCTGATCTCCGGCCGCGTGTCTTAGACACTCGGGTGAAGAGAGGGGCTGAGCTGTCAACTGATCACCACCTGGTTGTGAGTTGGGTTCGCTGGTGGAGGAGGAAGCCGGAAAGACCTGGCAGGCCCAAGCGTGTAGTGAGGGTCTGTTGGGAACGTCTGGCGGAGGCCTCTGTCAGAGGGACTTTCAACTCGCACCTCCGGGAGGACTTCTCCCAGAGTCCGGGGGAGGCTGGAGATATGGAGTCCGAGTGGGCTTCATTCTCGGCCTCTATTGTCAATGCAGCTGCTCGGAGCTGTGGGCGTAAGGTCTGTGGTGCCTGTCGCGGCGGCAATCCCCGAACCCGGTGGTGGACACCGGAAGTAAGGGATGCCATCAAGCTAAAGAAGGAGTCCTATCGGGTCTTGTTGGCTCGGGGGACTCCTGAAGCAGCTGACGGGTACCGGCGGGCCAAGCGTGCTGCAGCCCGTGCGGTTGCGGAGGCAAAAACACGGAGCTGGGAGGAGTTCGGGGAGGCCATGGAGAAGGACTATCGGACGGCCTCAAAGAGATTCTGGCAAACCGTCCGGCGCCTCAGGAGGGGGAAGAAGTTCTTCGCCAACACTGTTTACAGTGCGAGGGGAGAGCTGCTGACCTCGACTGGGGACGTTGTCCGGTGGTGGAAGGAATACTTTGAGGATCTCCTCAATCCCACCGTCACGTCTTCTGAGGAGGAGGCCGAGGCTGGGGACTCGGAGGCGGACTCATCCATCACCCAGGCTGAAGTCACTGAGGTGGTTGGAAAGCTCCTTGGTGGCAAGGCTCCGGGGTTGGATGAGATCCGTCCTGAGTACCTTAAGTCTCTGGATGTTGTGGGGCTGTCTTGGCTGACACGCCTCTTCAACATCGCGTGGCGGTCGGGGACAGTACCTCTGGACTGGCAAACCGGGGTGGTGGTCCCTCTGTATAAGAAGGGGGACCGGAGGGTGTGCTCCAACTATAGGGGGATCACACTCCTCAGCCTTCCCGGTAAGGTCTATGCCAGGTACTGGAGAGGAGAATCCGGCCGATAGTCGAACCTCAGATCCAGGAGGAGCAGTGTGGTTTTCGTCCTGGCCGTGGAACACTGGACCAGCTCTACACTCTCCATCGGGTGCTCGAGGGTTCACGGGAGTTTGCCCAACCAGTCCACATGTGTTTTGTGGACTTGGAGAAGGCATTCGACCGTGTCCCTCGTGGTGTCCTGTGGGGGGTGCTCTGGGAGTATGGGGTTCGGGGTCCTTTGCTAAGGGCTGTCCGGTCCCTGTATGACCGGAGCAGGAGCTGTGTTCGCATTGCCGGCAGTAAGTCAAACCTGTTCCCAGTGCATGTTGGACTCCGCCAGGGCTGCCCTTTGTCACCGGTTCTGTTCATTGTGTTTATGGACAGAATTTCTAGGCGCAGTCAGGGGCCGGAGGGGGTCCGGTTTGGGGACCACAGGATCTCATCTCTGCTGTTTGCGGATGATGTTGGCTTCATCGAACCAGGACCTGCAGTGTGCACTGGGGCGGTTTGCAGCCGAGTGTGAAGCGGCTGGGATGAAGATCAGCTCTTCTAAGTCTGAGGCCATGGTTCTCGACCGGAAAAAGGTGGCTTGCCCTCTCCGGGTGGGTGGAGAGTCTTTGCCTCAAGTGGAGGAGTTCAAGTATCTCGGGGTCTTGTTCACGAGTGAGGGAAGGACGGAGTGTGAGATTGACAGGCGGATCGGTGCAGCTTCGGCAGTGATGCGGTCGCTGTATCGGACCGTTGTGGTGAAGAGGGAGCTGAGCCGAAAGGCGAAGCTCTCGATTTACCGGTCAGTCTTCGTTCCTACTCTCACCTATGGTCATGAGCTCTGGGTAGTGACCGAAAGGACGAGATCACGGATACAAGCGCTTGAAATGGGTTTCCTCCGCAGGGTGGCTGGGCGCTCCCTTAGAGATAGGGTGAAGAGCTCAGTCACACGGGAGGAGCTCGGAGTAGAGCCGCTGCTCCTCCACGTCGAGAGGAGCCAGTTGAGGTGGCTCGGGCATCTGTTCCGGATGCCTCCTGGGCGCCTCCCTAGGGAGGTGTTCTGGGCATGTCCCACCGGGAGGAGGCCCCGGGGAAGACCCAGGACACACTGGAGGGACTATGTCTCTCGGCTGGCCTGGGAACGCCTCGGGGTCCCCCCGGAGGAGCTGGAGGACGTGTCTGGGGTGAAGGAAGTCTGGGAGTCCCTGCTTAGGCTGCTGCCCCCGCGACCCGGCCCCGGATAAGCGGGGAAAATGGATGGATGGATGGATGGACCTTTCAGAAGCACTAAGGGCTAAACAAACAAAACAGATAAAAATAAATATCTAACATAATTCTAAAATTGCTTCTCAGGTACGTCCCCCCGGACCAGGCGAGGACTGTAGCCACGGTCCAGGCCTCAGTGTCGGGGTCTTCAGCCAGCAGCACCGGCAGCACCCCTGAAGTCCAACCGCTCAAGTCTCTACAACTCAACAAGACCCCCCTACGCCAGGTAAGACCCTACACAGACCAAAGACCCCTACACAGACCAGGTAAGACCCTACACAGACCAGGTAACACCATACACAGACCAAAAACCCCTACACAAGCCAGATAAGCCCCTGTGACGCAAGATACAAGAATTTACCGTATTTTCGGGGCTATTAGATGCACTCTTAATCCTCCAACCGCATCAAAATACGACTGCGTGCCCCTCAATCCAGAGCGCCCTATACACGAATCCACTCGGGTGTCCCAGCACGACTTCAGTAAACTACAAAGCCACAACACCCGCAGAACACACAAACACACACGGAGCAGACAGCGACCGCACAGTGACAAACACCAACAGACACACTCATCACTCCACGCAGACGAGGAACGGAACGGAGGAACGAACCGAAAAAGCGAGTGCAATGTGCCACTTCTAGACACAACTGAACAACTGAGTCACTACGAACACGCCAACAATCCGTTGGTCCCAGACAGCACCCTCCCTACACGCCACAACTGAACAAAGCCCAGAGTCACCGTGAACGCACCAAACAAACAAAACCACTCACCCATCACACTGTTGTTTCCTTTAAAGTCCAGTGCAGTTTACTTGTGAAAAAAGTTAGAAAATAGACCATTCACTGACAGTGCGTCTTATAATCCAGAGCGACTAATAGCCCGAAAAATACAGTAATATCTTGATATCTCACAGTGGGGGAATTCCAGTGTTGCCACACTTTTAGTCATGTTATAATGTTGTTACCTCTTTAAAAAACATACCCAAAGTTGTTTTTTGTTTCATTCACACATGTTTGAGTAAAACATGTGTTCTTAGTCTGTCAACATCTCCAAATGCTCTGTTCCACCTTGTGATGTCATGTAGTGGTAGTTTTCAAGTGAACAGCTCCTTTTCCCTTTAGTTCAGTAGAGATTGGTAATTCCAGGACTAAAATGATCCAAATGAATCTAGTGAAGGTGTACGGCGTTTAAAAACACAACTTGTATTACCACATGACATCACAAGGTGGAACGGGAGTCAGATATGTTTGTGATGAGGAAGCAGCATTATAACTTGTACATTTTGGCCTTGATAATTGTTACCCCGGATACCCCCTAAACCTGTCGACTCATAAACGTCTGGCCTGCTGTGGTAACTGCTCAGTGTCTTGTACAAGTAACTCCTGTGTGCTGAGTTTACATGAGGGTGACTGTACAGGGAGAGGCTGTGTAAACAATGACATCACTCAGGACTCACATAAAGGCTCCTGTGTAGTGTAGTCATATTTTAGGCCTGTTATAAGTAATTGGATTATTTGTGACTAATGGGTCATTGGAACAAATTCAATCAGTGCTAATTATTTTCTGGAGTAACATGCGCCATGTGCTGAGGATGTTTTATCACAAAGACAGCACTGTAATCAAATTAAAATAGAAGGGCCTTTAAATAGATTTAAAGGGCCCATATGGCTCTATTTTCAGATCTATGTTATACATGCTAAATATTTGTAAGTTGCTGCCATAATAGACACTAAATAAGTTTTTTTCACTGGCTTTTAACAAGTGAGGTGTACATTTATTGTTAATTAACTTGAGTATCTTAGTGTTTCCTATGTTTTTTAGTAGTTGTATTGTGACTTTGACTGTGATTGTCCTTGTCTATTTTATGTTTGTGTACAGCACTTTGGCCAGCTGTAAAGTTTTTAAAGTGCTTTATACTGTATTTTTCGGATCGCATCAGCCAAAAAATGTGTAATGAAGAAGAAAAAACATATAAGTTTTGGGGGAAATTTATTTCATAAAACGAGAGACTACAAACCGACATTTCATCAAAGGCAAGTTAAAGTAATAACAACAGAACAGAGAACAACAGACTGTTAACGTCACATATGAACAGTTCTTCAGATAAATATAACATAAACAACAGAAGTTTATCAAACTCTCCATCTCACTCCAAATCACTAAATCCATTCAATTCTTCATCCTCGGTGTCACTTCGGAGCAACTCCCATAAAATTATAATTATTATAGATCCACTGCAATTCCGCAACCTCCGGAGGTAAACAGAGCGCCACTTCCTCTTCTGTGTAGCTGTCGTCAGACTCGGCATCAGTTCCAGTTAGAATTATTCCGGCCTTTCTGAATCCCGACAGGATGGTTTCAGTGTCACTGAAGTCCAGGCTTTGTCCATCCAATGACTTCAGGAAAGTTTCATGGTTCACTCTTCCGGTTACTGTGAAGTTGTGTTCTTCATCACTACTTTCCGCCAGTTTCTCACTCACTCCAAACTTTCTTTCTGCTGCTCGATTACAGTTTTCAACTATATATTTCTTTACTTGTATCAGGACAACAGCTTTTTCCACAGGAGACATGCGAAGTTAAGGGTGAAGTGAGAGTGGTACAGGAGGAACAGGAGCAGCAGATACAAGACACAAGACTAGAACGGCTGTCATTGTGAAAATTTTAATATATAAGTGGCACCAGAGTAAAAAAAAAAAAAGTGAAAAAAAGTGCAACTTATAATCTGAAAAATACAGGAAATAAAATTGATGTGTTTTTTACAATAAGCTCTGGACCGATCTGATCTTCATAATCATAATATTTATGAGTATTTGCTGGCTGTGCTGTTAAAGGTAAAAATGTTGACTTTTACTAGTCAAAATATGACCAGGAGAAGGATTCATAAGCACTGGAAAAGATCATGTTTAAAACCAGAAATTCTTACAATATTTTCTTTCTTTTGTCTATTGGATTAAAGGCGCTGTACCTGTCTTAAAAACAAAACAAGCTATTACTCACTTTTTGGATTCTGAATAATTATTCATCGCGATTACAGTTAATAAGGACTTTTTACAACTTTCAGAGATCAGAGCAGAGTTTTGAAATCAGGGTAATGCTAACAACAACTTGCATGTACTACAATAAAACACTATAATTAAATTCAGACAGTGCACAGCAGCTTTATTTAGACCTCTAGAGCTGCTTATACGATATATCTGTACTCAGACAAGACATGTTTTGCTCAAATACATGGGTGAAAAATCAATACAACCAAAATGTGATATGTTACATTCAGCTTACATTCCTGGTTTAGTCCTGGTTCAGCCCTTGTTCCTCTCCCTGCCTTGTGTGATGTTCCAGGAGCTGAGTTTGTAGCTTAAGTGTGACCTTACAGCCCCCTGATTTACAAAACAGAGGATTACATTGTTTACATTATTTCTTTATATATCTCTCTGTCTCTCCAGTCTCCAGGCCTGAGTCGCGCACAAACCTACAACACGTCTCAAGAGAAGAAGTTTGACCTTCTCTCAGATCTTGGGGGAGACATCTTCGCCGCTCCGCCCGCTCAGACTGCCACCTCCAACTTTGCCAACTTTGCACACTTCCCAAGCCAATCGGGTGAGCTATTTCCAGCCCAGAACAAGTCCCTAATGAGCCTGCGATTCACTGAAGCCAACGCACAGTTCCCATGCCTACTGGGAAAGGATTTACCATGAGGAGTCATGAGAAATATGACTGAATTTTTAATTTACAAAACAAAAAGTGTGGTCCAGTGTTTTGGCAGTAAACTGGCAGAGTGGCAACTTCTATATGAAACAAGGAACCACATTCCTATCTCCACTTTTATGCACAACTCAACATTTTAGATTATATAATCAGTGGTGGATGAAGTACTCAGTTTTGTTATTTAAGTAAAAGTACAAATGCAAAGGTAAAAAGTTACTCAAGTAAGACTAAAATATCATATGAAAGAATATACTTAAGTAAAAGTATTGAAGTACTTGTTTAAAAATTGGCAGATGCTATTTGCACCCTGGGTGTAAATGGCTCACATTGTGATTCACACATCGGGCAAAGAGCCATTGTTGCTATTTACACCCAGGGTGCAAACAGCATCTGCCAAAAAAACTAAAACAAACAACAACAAAAACTCACTGTCAGTACAAACATAAAGGCGCAAGCCAGTGAAAATCAGGAATATTTGATGTTTTTTTTTTTACTCAAAATGATGCAGAATCATCAATCAATCAGTCGCAGTCTGTGCCTAATGGTTTAGTCTTGGTTAAAATCCTGTTTTAGTTCTGGTTTATACTTGGTTTTAGTTCTGGTTTAGTCCTGGTTTAGAACTGGTTTAGTCCTGGTTTTAGTCCTGGTTTAGTCCTGTTTAGTCCTGGTTTAGTCCTGGTTTTAGTCCTGGTTTTAGTCCTGGTTTAGTTTAGTCCTGGTTTTAGTCCTGGTTTTAGTCCTGGTTTTAGTTCTAGTTTAGTCCTGGTTTTAGTCCTGGTTTTAGTCCTGGTTTAGTCCTGGTTTTAGTCATGGTTTTAGTCCTGGTTTTAGTTCTAGTTTAGTCCTGGTTTTAGTTCTGGTTTTAGTTCAGTTTAGTCCTGGTTTTAGTTCTAGTTTAGTCCTGGTTTTAGTTCTGGTTTTAGTTCAGTTTAGTCCTGGTTTTAGTTCTAGTTTAGTCCTGGTTTTAGTCCTGGTTTTAGTTCTAGTTTAGTCCTGGTTTAGTTCTGGTTTAGTCCTGGTTTTAGTTCTGGTTTAGTTCTGGTTTAGTCCTGGTTTTAGTTCTGGTTTAGTTCTAGTTTAGTCCTGGTTTTAGTCCTGGTTTTAGTCCTAGTTTAGTCCTGGTTTTAGTTCTAGTTTAGTCCTGGATTTAGTCCTGGTTTAGTTCTAGTTTAGTCCTGGTTTTAGTTCTAGTTTAGTCCTGGTTTAGTTCTGGTTTAGTCCTGGTTTTGGTTCTGGTTTAGAGGCGCACGGGAAGAGGCACGCTCCGTGCGCCGTACGGGAGAACGCGCGGTGTACGGGAGGAAACGTTGCTTATGGGAGCGGAATGAGTGAAATGATGCTGTTGAATAAAGAGATGCACTGAACCTGCACACGTACGACATGCACACGTACGATCTGCACACGTACGATCTGCACACGTACGACATGCACACGTACGATCTGCACACGTACGATCTGCACACGTACGATCTGCACACGTACGATCTGCACACGTACGATCTGCACATGTATGATCTGCATATGTATGATCTCTGTAAAGTTTAACACGAACCATCTCCAGAACAGACTCACCATCCGTCCGACAGAAGCTCCACATCAGGGCACAGAGCGAAGTGTTTTTATCAGCGGGTATTTTATGCAGATTAACCTTGTGGCGTTAGGTTTGGTTTTTGTGTGCAAAGATGCATTAAATACATTCTAATCTCAAACGGGCTGATGTCGCTCTATAGTAGCTCTGGTGCTTACGAGGGCCAAATACTTGCACCTGAACCACTTTTGATGTTACCATTATCTTACTCCAGGCTGCACTTGAACTGCTGAATAGACAGATCAACTAGCAGAACCACTAGCTATACATCGCACAAGCTCAGTAAACTGCCCATGATGCTGTGATGCCTTCAACTTAATTACCCAAATACTGTAGTAATGGTCGGACAGGCATTGCAAATATATTTTATAGCATCATTGACTTACCTTTTACCTTACTTTACCTTCGTTTAGAATTTTATTTCTTTGGAATCTCAAATCCAGCTTCCCGCACTTTTCACAGGAAACGACATAAACGGACACGTCACTGTTCCCTTTTTTCTTGAGACGGGTGTAAAGAGAAGAATCGGTCCATTGGACCATTAACACCCAGGGAGCAAATAGACACAAAATATACTTAAAGAGAAAAAAGTATTTCACACAAGTGTTAAAATGTGGTCATATTGATAAAAAAAATATATACATATATTTTAGCAACTAATCAATTTATTATTTAACTTATTTTTTTTCTAATGAATTTTGTGTATTTATTTTTGTTTGCTCAAACCCAAAGCTTGAATTTAAAAAATGTAGTCAGGATGGTGCGACAAACATGACAAAATAACCCCAAAATCATCTGAAAAATACTTCAAAATACTTCTTACTTTTCAGTCTAGTTTAAAAAAAAAAAAAAAAAAAAAAGTAGTGGAGTATAAAGTACAGATACCTACTCTCAAATGTAGTGAAGTAAAAGTTAAAAGTATCCAATGCAAAATGTACTTAAGTAGAATTTTTAATCTGTACTTAAATACACTACTTTACTACTCTCACGTTTGTCTAATTATGATTTGGTTTGGTGGGATAGTATTTACAGTAAATGTCATAGTTTTTACATCAGTTTAGTAGCAATTTGTGAAGAAAAAAGTACAAAAAAATACAGGAAGTAGCAGTGTATTTAAAACTGAATCCCTCTACCTACTTAAACAACTCTGGAAATTCTATTCAAAATGCAGGGACAAATTACGCACAAGGACAGGATATTTCTGAATTTAAATATTGATTTTTTTGTTAGCCTAATCACATTTATTTTGTAATTTAGGATTGGTTCTTGTTAAAATTATGGTTGCTAGGTAAAAAACAAGGCAAATTTTGTAGTAAAATGTTAAATATGATTCTGTTAACTATGTTTTACTGAAAAAGTACTCTAACCTGTCATAAGAACTTCAATAGAATAAAATGATATAACTGCAGCACTGTCCTTATTAAAAGTGGCAGATATCTGATGATTATTGACATATATTATAGTGTTTTACAGATTTCACAATTGTTGAACTCACAAAAAACATTCAGACTTTTAAATCCCAAGCAAAATATCAAGCCAATCATGAAGTCAGTTGTGAAGTCCTCAAAATGGTGCCCGTGTTTGAGTCTGGCTCCACAAACAAAAGTCCTTTCTACTGACAACAATCACCTTCTGAACTGTGGAAAAAGATGCTGAACCTCGTGCCAGTTTTTGTTTCGTGTGAATAGACCCAGTAATTACAGAGATATTAGCCATAAACCAGGTCAACAAATCTGCAACTCACAGCAGATTCCGACACAGAATTCTACCATTTTTTCTTTTGTATCAACATATCAGTATTATAAAGAACAAAAAATATGGTATTTCCCTGGAACTTCTTATCTCCCTATGTCAAGTTTAAACATTTGCATTTGACTTCTTGAACAATACCTATGTAAGACAGTATTCAGTCCCAGAGGTGGGGAAAACGTTCACTTGAGTAACTTTTTAAATAAATTGTACTTTGGAGAATACTTTTCTAGCAAGATACTTTAATTCCTACTTGAGTAATATTTAGTTTGTAGTTGAGTCAAAGGGCTAGTTACTTTTTCCACCGTGAGTAAGCAACAAAAGATTTTCTCATTTGTTTTCTCATTTGTGCGGGCTGTTGTTTGAAAATACCAGATTATGTGCATTATTTAATATTTTTCATTTCCAAAAGATGCATCAAGAATTTCGGACTTCCGGTCATTGCAAAATTCATACTGGGAAGGATTTTCCGAAAAAGTGACCATCAAACCTCCGTGTTTGTTTTCCCAGTGGGATGTGTCTATTGACAAAGTTGATCTTTTCTAGTCTTAGTCCATATCACTTTTGTTTCTGGTTCTGATATTGTCATATTTTAGTTTTGGGATTGGGACATAGTAATTGTGTGGTTGTTGGATGTTCTAACAGAGGAAAACTGCTCAAGAAATTTGTTTGCAAACTCCATAAATGCAAAAGGGAATCAGATGTGTGTGACTGTAAACCTCTGTTCAAACTGTTTCCCTTCCCCACGGAATTGAAAAATAGTGAAAGGTGAAAGTGATGGGCAGGATTGATCCACAGGAAGGACCAAAAAGAAAACATTTGACTGGCTAAGAAATCATCCTGTGTTTGCAGAGAACATTTTGTATGTGGAGGACAGACTAAAATATGATCAGAACCAGAAACAAAAGTGATATGGTTCAAAAGACTTGAAAAGATTGACTTTGTCAATAGACGCATCCCACTGGGAAAACAAACATGGAGGATTGATGCTCACTTTTTTGGAAAATCCTTCCTAGTATGAATTGCACAATGACCGGAAGTCCGAAATTCTTGATGCATCTATTAAATTAACTTTAAAGCTGCACAATGTGACTTTTCAGTTGGGGGTCTGTCACCTGCTTGTTTCTATGGATATATCATTGCTCTGCCTGGAATGTTCCACAGTATGACATTAAACAGCTCTACTTTACATTTATTCAGTTACAGGTGCTCAAAAATACCAGGAAAAACAACATTCTGACTGTGAGTGGGGTTGCCTCTTCACAGATCTGACCTGTGACTTTCTTTCTCCATGAAGATGGAAAGGTTTAATGCCACACTGTGAAACATTCCAGACAAAGTAATAATACCTCCCTGGAGAAAAGCGTCTGATGGATCCTCCACCAGAGAAGTTACTCAATGCACATTTGAAGTATAAATCAGTCTTATCTGAATACTGAATCCTTTTTTACTCTTTACTCAGATCATTTGTTGGACCACTACTTGTACTTTTACTTGAGAACAATTTTTGGCTACTCTCCTCTCTTGTGTTCAGTCCCAGAGGAGCGTGAGAACCCTGTGTAACAAAATGTCGTCCTGTTGATACTTTGCAGCTCAGGTCATCAACATTCCTGGGAGTGTGACGCTAACCGAAAGCACTGATCTGTCTGAATATCTGTTACTCAATTTAGACTGAATCTGAGTTTTATTTTAACACAATCTGACCAGAAAGAACTGATATGCTTGGAACTACAACAGGTGAACTGGTTTGGTTCAACAAGAATCTCACGTGTAAAATGACTGTGTTTTTTGTTGAAAATCAAACACCAAAACCAGGGGTCGGCAACCTTAAATACTGTATTTTCCGCACTATAGGGTGCTCTGGATTATAAGGCGCACTGTCATTAAATGATCTATTTTTGACCTGTTTTCCACAAATAACCTCACTGGACTTTAAAGGAAACCCAACAGTGTGATGGGTGAGTGGTTTTGTTTGTTTGTGGTGTTCACAGTGACTCTGGGCTTTGTTCAGTTGTGGCGTGTAGGGAGGGTGTGTCTGGGACCAACGGATTGTCGGCGTGTTCACAGTGACTCAGTTGTTCAGTTGTGTCTAGAAGTGGCACATTGCACTCGCTTTTTCGGTTCGTTCCTCTGTTCCGTTCCTCATCGGCGTGGAGTGATGAGTGTGTCTGTGGTAGAGATGCGCGGATGGGCTATTTTTTCATCCGCAACCGCGACACAAAACTCATCATCCGCCCGCTGTCCATTTTGCACCGAAGGTTTTCAAAACCGCACCCGCCCGCCATCCGCCGATTGATTTTAGATTTTAGAACAATCATACAGCAAACAAACTAAGGAGCCTCGATAAAAATGCAAACTCTATAGCTCATTCATTCCAAAATTCGCTCAGCGTGTATGTTCACATTCTTAATTGTCCGTAACAACCCCAGACTTACCTGGTTTTCTTGCGCAGCTAATTAATTGACAACGTTTTCCGACGAGGCTATTTTTGAACCTTCTTGCCTTCGTGTTGGATGTTGTTACATTCTGAACATTCTGCCATTGCCCGATGTTATTTCAAAGTCGTAGCCTCACTCCATCGGTCTTTCTTTAAGTTTTAAAAACCCCGAGTGGCAGTCTACGCTATAATGTCTGCGTGTTTTAAAATATAACTGATATCGAAACAAAAAAAATAGCAAATGGCAAACAGCTGAAATAAATTAGAAATAATAAAATAAACTGCATATAATATGTGCCTTGTAAACCTTAGGCATCAATAACCCGACACAACCTGAACCTTCAGAACATAAAAACGAGGTCAAATGGGCTAATTAAGGATATGACGTACATTTCATACTACAAGCATAAACAATGAGACTCGTCTTTTCAGATGTAGGTAACAATACTAACAATAACTTTTTTTTTTTTTTTTTTTTAGTAGTTAAACCGCCACCCACCCGAATTTAATTAAAATATAATTTTTCGTCACGTCATCCGCCTGACCCGCGGATTAACCCCGGATACCGCAGTTGTAACCGCAATCCGCGCATCTCTAGTCTGTGGGTGTTTTTGGCTGTGCGGTCGCTGTCTGCTCCGTGTGTGTTTGCGTGTTCTGTGTGTGTTTGTGGCTTTGTAGTTTACTGAAGTCGTGCTGGGACACCCGAGTGGATTCGTGTATAGGGCGCTCTGGATTTTGGGGTGCGCAGTCGTTTTTTGATGAGGTTGGAAGCTTAAGAGCGCGTCTAATAGCCCAGAAAATACGGTTCTCAAAGAGCCATTTGGACCACACGTCTCCCACAGGAAAGAAAACACCCGGAGCCACAAAACCCTTTTGACTTTAAAATGAGGATAATACTGCATATAATTTTTTTACCTGTATGCTCTATACTAAAGACTATAGTGTATTGCATTCATGAAATCGATTACAGTATTTTCCGGGCTTTTAGACACGCTCTTAAGCCTCCAACCCCATCAAAAAACAACTGCGCGTCCCACAATCCACAGCGCCCTATACACGAATCCACTCAGGTGTCCCAGCACGACTTCAGTAAACTACGCAAACACGCACGGAGCAGACGGCGACACCTGCAGACACACTCATCACTCCACGCCGATGAGGAACGGAACGGAGGAACGAACCGAAAAAGCGAGTGCAATGTGCCACTTCTAGACACAACTGAACAACTGAGTCACTGCGAACACGCCGACAATCCGTTGGTCCCAGTGTCCGGTGTAGTTTATTTGTGAAAAATGTTTGAAAATAGACCATTTAATGACAGTGCACCTTATAATCCAGAGCACCTAATAGCCCGGAAAATACAGTAAATGCTACAGATAACAGAGAATTTGATTTCTGCATGTAACAAATACATTTTGAACTCTGTCGAAATGAAATACTCAATGCCTATTTGAGTCCTCCTCGTAGAAATAAAAATCCAAATTTAAATTATCCTCAGTGAACCAAAAATGTCTGGATCTATGTTTTAGAATTCTTATCAGCCGTGAAAGAAAGCAAATTAATCTTTTCTTGGATTTATCCGTCATTTACCTACGAGGGGTCGAATAGTCCAATAAATCATGCTGCTGGTGTAGACGCTGATAAGTTCAGGTTGCCAGATCTGTGCCGGGTGTCGCACTTCAGCAGTTGTGACATACACACTTTTTGAGCCACAAAAATATTAAAAACTTTTTATTTTTATGTTATAAGATTACCATTATCTACATATTTAGAATTACATTTAAAAACAAAACAACTAAAATAAAAATACATTATAATATTCATGAATTATTTTCCAAAGTCAAAGGGAGCTACAACAGTTGGATGAAAGAGCCACGTCGCTTTGGAGCCGCAGGTTGCTGACCCCTGACCTTTTGAGACTATTTATTTTTTGCTAATATGTGCATTGTGTCACCATGGTAACTGCTCAACATTCCACCAAATAGAAATACATGTAGATCACCCCCAGCCTGATGTCACTGCAAAGTATCAATGGTTTGTTCATGTATTCGTGTATTCATCCCATTCCTCCATAGTTCTCATTTCATCTTTCATCATTTCATTCTCCACAGCACCTCAGACTCAGTCCAGTAGCAACTTTGCCAACTTTGAGGCTTTTGGAAACACAACTATCCCATCTCACCTGAGCACCTCACCCCCCTCACAGTCATCAGGTACCCCTCATCTCCCCTCTCATTTTCACTGGGTTCTAATACTGTTTAAAAGTCCTATGTTATGCTAAAGTGACGAATCTTGAGGCCATGTTCTAATCACTGTTGGGCAAGTGACTTCAAAACTGGAATGTGTTATTTATGACTTGTTACTGTCATTTCAAAGTACTTCATTACATTACAATATTACTGTATTTAAAATGTAAAACATTACACGAATATTACAGCACTTTAACTTACTCTAACTAAAAGAACTGTTTCTGATTGTGAAATAACAATCAGCGAGTGAAGATGACAAACTTTTGTGCCATATGGACTGAACCAGGACTAAGCGAGGACTAAACCAGGACTGAACCAGGACTAAACCCGGACTAAACTGAAGACTGAACCAGGACTAAACCAGGCCTAAACCAGGACTGAACTAGGACTAAACCAGAACAAAACTGAAGACTGAACTAGGTCTAACCCAGGACTGAACCAGGACTAAACCAAGAACTAAACCAAGGACTAAACCAGGACTAAACCAGAACTAAACCAGAACTAAACTGAAGACTGAACTAGGTCTAACCCAGGACTAAACCAAGACTAAACCAAGACTAAACCAAGACTAAACTAAAGACTGAACTAGGTCTAACCCAGGACTGAACCAGGACTAAACCAAGAACTAAACCAAGGACTAAACCAGGACTAAACCAGAACTAAACCAGAACTAAACTGAAGACTGAACTAGGTCTAACCCAGGACTAAACCAAGACTAAACCAAGACTAAACCAAGACTAAACCAAGACTAAACCAAGACTAAACTAAAGACTGAACTAGGTCTAACCCAGGACTAAACCAAGGACTAAACCAAGGACTGAACCAGGACTGAACCAGGACTGAACCAGGACTGAACCAGGACTGAACCGAGGACTGAACCGAGGACTGAACTGTGCAGCACGGTGCTCTGGACCGTCCTTTTTCCCACGTAGCCCGTCGGGTAACCATGGGTGCACCTCTGGGCCTGTCCTCACATTTGGAACCATAATGATGGTATTTCATCACTGCTGATGATTTTAGTGAATTTCTATGAAGAAAAACAAAAAACCCACTACTTCAATCCAGGTTTGTAACGTGTGTTATTGACATTTGTACTGAGTAAAATATTACAGTTATGTTATACCACATTACTGCATTACAGCAAAAAGCAATACATTACAGTAATTTGTTGCTGTTATAACATGTTACTCCCTGTTTCTGCACCAAAAACATACCTGGAGTTGTGTTTTCTTTTGTTTACACATTTGAGTAACCCTTAAAGCTTTGTCTGGAATGTTTCACAGTATGACATTAAACCTTTTTATGTTCATGCAGACCAAATCAGACCAAGTTCAGGTCAGATCAGAATGCCTGTTTTCCTTGGTATTTTTGAGCTCTAGAACCACCTGTATTTGAATAAATGTATGGCAGAGCTTTTTAATGTCATTGTTCTGCCTGGAGTGTTCCACAGTATGACATCTCCATAGAAACAAGCAGGTGAAGGACCCCGAACCAAAAAGTTACACAGTGCACCTTTAATTATTAGTCTCTACATCTCCAAGAACTAAACATGCAGGTTTCTGTGTTAAACATGTGTGAATTAAACAAAACACTACTCCAGGTCTGTTTGTGATAAGGAAACAACATTATAAAATCTTATAACATGGGCCTTTTTTAATATTTATTTTTAATTTTGAAGGCTTTTCTTGTAATGTTTATGATGAAGAACTAGAGGTGGAAAATATCAAATAATAGATCATACCACAGTTGTTCTTTTGGAGAGTATTTTAGTGATCTTTCTTTATGGTTAGTGGGTAAAGTCCACGAGTTTACGTCATATTTGCTCCCATACGACAATTCTCCATAAATATGCAAAAACGCAATATAAAACTGTACACAGCAACTGGACAAACCTGATGCGATGTGTAGGAGTTCACCGTACTGTACTGTTGGCAGAATCTGAGTAAATAATGAAAACAATGCGTCAGGTGTTTGAGTAATCCTGTTATTGCGCTGTCTGTATCCCCAAAGCTCAAAATGCTCTGCTCAACCTTGTGATGTCATGAAGTGGTAGTTTTCAAGTGAACATCTACCTTTTTTCAAACCTTGTGTTCAGTAGAGATTTTAAATTTGAGGGCTGAAATTATCCAAATGATTCTAGTGAACGTGTATGGAGTTTAAAAAAAACGTAATGGAGCACTTCCTGTATTCCCACATGACAGTTTGAGAGAAGAACTTAACCGAAATCTGCAGAGTTTGTGTGTTAAACATGTGTGAATGAAACAAAACACAACTCCAGGTCTGTTTGTGATGAGGAAATAATATTATAACAGGTCAGAAAATAGTATAATATGTGTAGAAAAAACAAAAACAAGTAGTGAAGAATGAACATTTGTGAGGGTTGTAGGCCATGAGGATCAGTGTTGGGAGTAACGTGTTGTAAAAATAATGAATTACTATAATGCATTGCTTTTTGCTGTAATGCAGTAATGTGGCATAACAGGGAAAAACTGTAATATTTTACTCTGTTCAAATGTCAGTAACACATGTCACAATGCTTTTAACTTGGATTGAAGTGGTGGATTTTTCTTCATACAAATTCACTAAAATCACCGAGATATCAGCAGTGGTGAAACACTGGAGATGTGCCCGCGTAGACCGTCGGGTGACCACAAGCGAAAGGACCAGCGCAGAACTCCAGGCTCCACGGGGAGAACCGCAGCTGACGCCGGGTCGCGTCGTGCAGACACCCTGTTCCACGGACTCAGCACTCGGGGTTCTCTCAGGGGCGGTCATAGATTCCAAGTTCTAGTCCAAGATTAGTCCTGGTTTGGTTCTGGTTTAGTCCTAGTTTAGACTTGGTTTAGTCCTTGTTTAGACTTGGTTTAGACCTGGGTCAGTTCTAGTTTAGACCTGGTTTAGTCCTGGTTCAGTTTAGTCCTGGTTTAGTCCTGGTTCAGTTCTGGTTTAGTCCTGGTTTAGTCCTTGTTCAGTCCTTGTTCAGTTCTGGTTTAGTTCTGGTTTAGTCCTGGTTTAGTCCTGGTTTAGTTCTGGTTCAGTCCTGGTTTAGTTCTGGTTTAGTCCTGGTTCAGTTCTGGTTCAGTTCTGTTTTAGTCCTGGTTTAGTCCTGGTTTAGTCCTGGCCCAGTCCTGGTTCAGTCCTGGTTCAGTCCTGGTTTATCCTTGGTTTAGTCCTGGTTCAGTCCTCGGTTTAGTTCTGGTTTAGTCCTGGTTCAGTCCATATACAGCACAAAAGTTCAGCATCTTCACAGTTATTTTGGTGAGAGTAACTTAAAAGTAATCCAATAGTAATGTAATGCCTTACATTTTAAACGCAGTAATATTGTAATGTAACAAATTACTTTGAAATGACAGTAACGAGTCATAAATAACACATTACAGTTTTGAAGTAACTTGCCCAACAGTGATGAGGATGAGGTTTTTGAGCAGTTTTTTGAAGGTGTCTAGTCAGTCCAAGTTTCTGATATGTAGTGGAAATAAATAAATGTTAATCTTTTCTGTTCCACATAGCAGAGTCTGTGTTGGTACAGTTTTAAAGCTAAACTAACCTTCTTTTTGAATGAATTGCAGGAGGGGTGCCAATTCCTTCCATGTCCAGTGCAGTGCCCGCCCAGTGCCAGCCGGGCAGCTGCTCAGAGGACCGCTACGCTGCTCTGGCAGAACTGGACAATGAACTCAGCTCCTCGGCTACTTCCAACAGCAACGTGCCGGGGTGAGAGTCTGACCTTTACAGTTTGACTCAAAGGCAGCAAGTTGTCATAATACTACAATTTTAAATGTTTGAATGAGTATCTAAATTCGATGCTACTTTTAGTATTGTTTAGTATCTGATTTCAATACTTTTGACAACTCACTACAGCATCACATAGGGGACAATTCAGTTTCTATTCATTAACAAGTCTAAAATCTTTTAAATTTCTTCTCTAATATCATCTCAATGTTGTAAGAAATGATGTCTGATGACAAAAATCACTCACCCCTATTATGGTATTGCCCCATTTTATCCATCTGTTTGTTAAAAAGTCCCACACAATCTCTTTTAACATGATTATTTTTCTGTTATTTGTTATGTGCAAACAATAACACATTAAGATCGCCCTCATCTGGCAGCAGTGTGGACTGGAGACTCTTGAAATGGCAAATTTAAATGAACAAGTCAGGAACAAATATGTTATAGTAAATGCACTACACTGTTTTTTATGTTTTTATTTTGGGCAATGTAAACTGTAATTACCAACAGAATTAAACTTTACAATAATATCAACGTTCTTCTGCTAGTTTGTTCACATTTTGAACATTTAGAATAGTCTTTTCAGTTAAAAATGATCTAACTGTTTGGAAATGGCTTGTATTTCACAGCCTTCATTTTCATAATTATCTATTTTGTTCACAGTGTTTATATATTGATTCTTATATTGATGTATATAATATTTGTACAGGAACATATTTGGGCCAGTACTGGGTTCTTCTCCTGCTCAGAATGCTCCGGTCTTACCCACAATGCAACCTGGCTTTGGAGGTAAGCTGTTGTCACACACACTTGATATGCATTTGCTGTTCTGTGTTTCTCATAAATAATTCTGCAAATATTTCCTAGAACAGTTGTTGTAATGACTGTAATATTTTCAGATAAAACGTGAGTCAGGTCTACATGTTTTTGTTGCTTGTCTCCTGCAGCTGTCCCGTCCACAAACCCGTTCGTTGCTGCTGCTGTGGCTCCAGAAATGGCCACCAACCCGTTCCAGACCAACGGGCGTGCTCCTGTGGCAGGTCTGACCCTGTGGCCCTCTGCTCAGAGGGGACTCCTGTACATGTACTTTAATTAGGGGTGTAACATCACACGTGATTTGCTGTCACTTCAATTTGAATTAAGCTGTAAGATTCATTGGTGTCTGTTCACTCTTCACAGAGTACACAGCACAGTCCAAAGCTGACACACACACTCTGTATGCACCATGTTCTTTACCGAGCAAAACTCCGCTCTCTGTTACTCCCCTAAGTTAAATGGAGCTTCTCTGTGATGCCTGTGTCTCTAGCGCCCCCTGTGTTGACTGTACACTGTTGTCTTGTAGCCTCCTTTGGTACTGGCTCTATGAGCATGCCCGCCGGCTTCGGGAATGCCTCGTCCTACTGCCTCCCGACCAGTTTCAGCGGAAACTTCCAGCAACAGTTTCCTGGCCAGGCCCCCATCCCTTACTCTCAGCCTGCGGGGTACCACCCCCAGTCCAATGGTTAGTGCCCTGCCCTCTAGACTCTAGAGCCTGTGCCGGACTCTGCAAGGGCCTTTGGCTTTAGTTTTGTGCAGGTTTTAAGAGGTTTGAAAAGTCCTTGCAGCTCCTGCACAGTGGTTTCTAATTGCATCTAGGTCAGCCACTTTTAGACACCTCTTGCATGAATGTGGCTGTGGTCAGACCTAAATGCAATGAGTAAATCTGAAGTTCATTTATACTTCTATCAGAAGTCCTCCAGTAAAACATGGTTGTATCGTGTGTTTATGGGCTGTTTATGTTAATATGTGATCCTCTGGAGACTTGACTCACCCTGTGGAACCCCTCTGTTCTCCTCAGGCCCCGCGTTCCCTGTCTACGGTCAGACCAAGCCCTCCATGACGCCCTTTGGGCCTCCTATGGCCGGCCCTGGCATGACCAATAACCCCTTTATGGTGAGCATGTGTGTGTACTGACAGTTGTGATGTTGTTCTAACACTGTTCTATAAGCATATATCCATGGAGATGCCTGCTCTTTGACCTCTCTGCTGTGTTACAGGCAGGGGCCCCAGCCGGGCCCTTCCCTTCAGGAGGCTCTTCCACAAACCCTTTTCTGTAGCACAGTTCCTAACTCCGGCCACCAGAGGGCAGCATGCAGCACATATTCTCCGCACTTGTTCCGTCACACTGCTAGTGGCAGTACATTTCTAAGACTTCTTGTTCTGCAGAGAAGTTTACAACACTATGAAGGAGTTCAAGGGACTTTAAAGACTGGGACTGTTATGAGACGTACTGTTGGAATATTATATACAATATACATTATATGCTTTTTTATTTCTTGTTTATTACTGTAAGCTCTGTGCATATCATCATTTGTAATCACTATTATGTGTTATGTAACAAGGACTGAGTTAACAATGGTGAGTATACAAACACCTTGTGGACAGAAACCACTACTGTGTGCAGAAGATACGAGGGTAAACGTTTTAGAACTTTAACAGGGTTCATTCAGATGATTGAATGTGGTTTGGAGTGACCATGGTGAAGCAGGTATTTTATTAAAAGGGACTTTTCTTTTCGTGTTTTAGATGAGAGCTACATGAGGTCGAGGTGACATAGCTTTGGAGGACCAGGACTGATTTTTAAAAGTATAATCCAATCTTTTGCTTAAAGCAACTTAAGTGGAGTCCTTTTATATGAGTCATGTTGAATTGAACCAGAGGTTGAGCCTTAGCCAAACAGCTGTAGTGACTATCACAACATTGCCAATGTGTGCAGAAGGTGTTTAAAGAATACTTAATGTGATCTTGTTTTATGAACAGCCCGTGCCTATCTGAGCACAAACCAGATGAACAGAAGTGTCCCATCATCTGTCACTGTGTGTCCAGGATGTCCAAGGAGAAGTGTAACCTGAAGTACAGGAGCAGACTCATGCAAAGACGGTTTAGTGAAATACGCCGTTGTTTTATGGAGTGGGACTTACTGCACTGGTTTGCTTCAAGGCATTTGGCAAAAGATGAACTGAACAACTGCCCAATATGGGAGAAAGCCAGGGTCTGATGTGTGCCACCACTGACTAACAATGAATTTGTTTCTTGTCTTTGCAAGAATAGAGTAGTAAATGTGTACATATATAAATATATGTATAAATAAATTAAAGATTTTTAACTACCATCATGTACCATCGTCTTGCTTGCAATTTATTATATCTTATTTTTTTTACATTAGTAAAAAATCTGTTTCAAGAACGTGATGATTTGATCAAATGTTTCAAATATTAATAGTTAAATGTTCAACTAAATCAGTCCGCCTTAAACGGAGACTGTGTTGTCATGGTAACGGCCAAACCTAAACATGGCGTCGCTTCTGAAAGATCCGCTCTTTGAAATCTCTGGGAACGGTCCGGCTCCAGATAAGACTTTTTATGCCCTCACCGTGACTAAATCTGAGGTAAGTGTGGTTAACAATGAGCTCACTTTGCGGACACGGACTTTCTATTATTTTATTGGAGCTAATTTTTATAAACTTTTTTCATCAATATGTCGCCGCGTTAGTTTCGTTACTGTCAACAGCTGTAACGTGACACAGGAACGTGAGAGCAGACTAACTACAAATCTAACTAAACATCAACAGCTTTTTCTGTTTCACTTAGTCAGGATTCTACATCAAATTATACAGATAATAAAATCAATTGTTTATTGCTCGAGTTAAGTTTGTTCCTATGGAAAAATAAATACTAAAGCAGTTGACTTAAATGAAGTTGATAACAATATGTGTATGTGTATTTAATTCAATATAGGCCTGTAAGATTAATCACAATCAAATTGAAATTTCAAAGGCAGCATATTTTTCCTTAGGCTAAGATAATTTCCTCTACAAACAGCAAAATCTCCTGTTCACCCTGCACTTCAGAACTACTACTGTACTAAATGAAATTCTGGCATTAGTTTGTCATTTCATATCATTATTATCATTATTTTTGTCAAATCTTCAACACACGTTTAAAATGTGGTCTTTGAACAGAATCCATTTATTAAAACAAAGAGCTTGTCAGAATAATCACAATTACATATATTTTCCCCACATCGTTTAAACCTAACTCAAAATGAAGAACACTTTGTGCTGGACTCTTGCAGGTGTTCTGGGGATGGTGGAAGATCACACTCAGAAGAAATGTGGACAGACGTCCTGGAAAAATCAAGGAGTCCCACCTGGACCTGTTAGAAGACACCAGACTCCAGCGTGAGAGAAACATGAGCCATTTGACAATAGCTTTTACTATTAATGACAATACATGTTTTATCACCATCAGCTTCATCCTAAATTACCAGTGACCTCGTTAAATCATCAGCACTGTTCACCTCACGTGAACTCACCGTATTATACTGTTTCATCAGCTGAGAAAAAGATATTAAAAAGTGTAAAATACAAATTTTTACATACATTTAGAGCAGCTCAAATTTTATGTCATTCTATTACATCAAAATAATATTACTCTATTTGAAGTACAAGTGATCCAGAATAAAAAGGTTTTTGGGGAAATCACCACTCAGGTTAGTAACTGTCTAGAAGTAATGTCTGATTTATAATTTTAATTTACAAAACATTAAATAATTCACAAAATCTGGTGTTTTTACAGGATAGATCACAAAAAGTATATATAAAAAAACAATATTATATCTTAAAGGGCCTCGCAAGACACACAAATGTTTAAATCATTTATTGTCATCATGAAGCTATTGTTATTTGCAAACTTATTTTGGAGGGGTGGCCAAAGGTTTCAGTCTAATAAGTGTACTGTTCACTATAAAATATATTAGTTACACTCAACTAAGCCCAGTTGTTCTCTTCTTCAGGTGAAATCGCTTTAGTGTTTGGAGAGGATGTGCTGAATTACACCAAGTCTCTGTGCCAAGGTCAGTTTAACTACCTGGAGCACCTGCCCGACGCTCTGCTCCTGCACATCCTGAGCTTTCTGGAGCTGGAGGACGTGGGGCAGCTCCTTCGCACTTCTCGACGCTTCTGGAAGGTGAGATGAACCATAAAACACACAAAAACGTAGCACTGTGATAATATTAACATTAAACACCCTCTGCCTGCTCCAGTCACACTTATGTAGTGCAGTAATGAGCCTCAAGTCATTTGGGTTGCCAGTTTCAAAGCTGAAATCTAGTTGGTTTAAAAGGACTCTCTCTGGTCTGAATCCTCACACCCTAAACCCCAGCACCTGTAGTCAGTCATGAGTCAGTGCTAGTGCGACCTCTGCAGCTCAGAGAGTGAATTCTGAAGACGCTGAGGTTTCACATGAAGCTCGGCCTCTCCATATACTGAGAATGAGACAAACATGTCTTCTCTGTGTAGTCTGGCAACACAGAGTCGTACCTTGTTGAAAACAGTGCAGGTTACGCACCTCATTACCTTCCCTTTAATCATTGTTTAGAATTATTGTAGCTATGGTTCACTCACATTTCAGATTGTTTAACCCTAATTTATTCATTTATTTATTTGTTTGAGCCAGGTACAACAAAAATTCAAAAAACAATAACAAAAACAGGGATATATACATGAACATATTTGGGACATGGTGCTCAAAAGGAGGAGGATGAAGATTAAAAAACTTAGTGTCTTACCCCAATTGTTTTACATAATCATGTGGTTCACACTATATATATAGAGAGAGAGAGAAAGAGAGAGAGTGAGAGAGTGAGAGAGAGATATTTATTTTTTTAACACCTTTGGAGTGCTTACCTGTCATATGCATTGCATAAATACACACATATACACACATACATACATATATACTGTATGTACACACACATGTACACACATACATAAATACATATATGCATCAAAGATGTCCTGTACATATATTCAGTATAAATATATATACACATATGCATAACACACATATCCATACCTAATAATTGTAATGAAGAAGGCACAAAAATGTATAATTTATGATCATACCAAATAAACAATAACCCTAATTTATTCCTGATATAGTCCATGTTTTTCTTTTTTAAACTAATTCTATAGACGACAGTACCATTTGGAATGTATGGCCCCCATTATGCAACATTTATTTTGTGTGTAACCTAGACAAAAATGTATATACAGTAATAATACAGTGATTGAAGTTCATAATATAAGTTACAGTTTAAAATGGTTAAAAAGCATAAATAAGTTATAAGTTACATAAATATTGTTAAAAAGTATATTTCATTTATTAAGTAAAGTGTTTAAAAAACTGTTAAAAGTACCTGGAAATAAGTTAAGGAGCTGTACAAGGTATATTGCAGTCGATGTAGTTTATTTAATTTTATTTTGAAATTCTACAGGAAGTGCTATGAATGTGTACTGCTGCTGCTGGCCATTTTCTGTATTGACTTTACACACGGTGAACCGGAAGTGAGTGTCTGCGGAGCGTTAGCTTAAAGGTTGTATGGAGGATTTTTTTTAGTTTCAAGTTGTCAATGATAGCATTATAGAGATGCAGTAGCCTTGTAATTATGATGACCAAAAAAAAGAGAATAAAAATTCATCAACTCTGGACGCCACTTCTCCGCCTTGCCTAACCAACACTGTAGTTAGTTGTTTACAAGTCATGTGCAGTGCACCGGCTGTAAACAAACCTGTTTCTGGCGTAAGGAGGAGGCGGGAGGAGGCTTTTCTACATAGGGAGCTGTAGGGAGGGGGGGGGGGGGGGGGGGTTTCACGCATGTGCAAAATTTGAAAAAGGACAAACAGTCGCTGGATTTCTCGTTCCTTGGAAAATCCTCTATACAACCTTTAACCTCGAGAGAAAAAGACAGAGGAGAGAAAAACACACTAAATAAGGAGATAATTCGGAACTTTTATGGTGTATGACAAGCCTTTGGACTGTTGGCCAAATAGTCGGAAGTAGAGACTTGTTTTACACAATTGTGGAGAGCGCATGGAAGTTATTCAGCCCGAAGACGGACCTGCACATAAGTACTGAAGGAAAGTTTTAGACGGTAGCTCCGTTTCTTTTTTCTTGCATTCGCTAGCTAAGCGGGTGCTCTCAACTGAATTAGTAGTGAAGTTAAAACAGCTTACTACAAAGACTGTTTTATTTCTCAACTTGAGATTTGAAAGCCTGTCGTTTAGAAGAGCGGGATGGTGTGTGAGGGACGTACGGGAGGAGACCAGCGGGGAGCAGTGGACGTGACCGCACCGCCATCTTGGAACCTGTAAATGCGTTTTCATCCAGATCTGACCTATAACAACCACTGTTGGGCAAGTTACTTTGAAACTGTAATGCGTTATTTATTACCTATTACTGTCATTTCAAAGTAATTCGTTACATTACAATATTACTGCATTTAAAATGTAAGGCATTACATTACTATTGCATTACTTTAAGTTACTCTCACCAAAATAACTTTTGCACTGTATATGGACTGAACCAGGAATAAACCAGGTCTAAACCAGGACTAAACCAGAGCTGAACCAGGACTAAACCAGGTCTAAACCAGGACTAAACCAGAGCTGAACCAGGACTAAACCAGAACTGAACTAGGACTAAATTAGAACTGAACTAGGACTAAAACAGGACTCACTGTGGGGACGGGCTCGAAGGTGACCGCAGGAGAAAGGAGCGGCTCTGCTCCGCACCTCACGGAGGTAAGAGCGTCTGTCACCCGATCGCTCTTTATGGACCCTGCTGCTCGGGCTCGCGGCCCTGATTTCAGCAACTATTTGCAGGTACCCGAGCCGGTGCAAAAGTCTGTTACAGCGCGTAACTTCTACCTTCCTTCAGCGTGTCCAGAAGTCCAACTTTTTGTGTGATGGTTTGCATCTTCCTCTGTCTTTTGGGTGCGAGCGCAGGAGCCTTTGTCGGTGCAGAACGTTTCGTCGACGTTGTGGGGTTTTCGTCGGGGAGAAAACTTGCAACCCTACAGCACTTCAGAATCACACTGCTAGAGACTGAACATGTATTTAAATTTGGCAGCTGAACACATTCTGTACTGTACTGTACAGGAGACAGGAGTCCCTTGGCCAGTCAGGACGCAGCGGGAGGAACGCAATACGCATTCATACAATGTAAAAAAAACAGGGCATGCAAAATTGCACCAAAAAAAAAAAAAATCTGCGAGACAGCGAAAAGTGAACTGCGATAGAGGGAGGGACGAGTGTAAACCAGGTCTAAACCAGGTCTAAACCAGAACTGACCCAGGTCTAAACCAGGTCTAAACAGCGTGGAGTTCTTTGTCAGTCCTTTCGCCCGCGGTTACCTGAAGGTCTATGAGGGCGCATCTCCGGCGTTTCACCGCTGCTGATATCGCGGTGATTTTAGCGAATTTGTATGAAGAAAAACCCACCACTTCAATCCAGGTTAAAAAAACATTGTAACGCACGTTACTCACATTTGTACCGAGTAAAATATTACTATTTTTTCCCCTGTAATGCCTTACATTACTGCGTTACAGCAAAAAGTAATGCATTACTGTAATTCGTTACTTTTATAACACGTTACTCCCAACACTGATAACAACTGTACACAAAACTACAAAACCAGGTACCTAAAATATTTGATTTGGCTCAGAGAGTGAAGCGGCCATTCTGTTTTGGGTCACACCGCTCCCAAGCAACGCACAGGCCTGCACCGAGAGTTGTTTTAAGTGCATTATAACTTAGTGTGTGTGTGTGTGTGTGTGTGCGTGAGTGGGCCCACAGTTTAATATTTTGATATTGTCTACATTTCATTCACTTGTTCAGTTATTCTTAAAAATTTGCTAACCCAGTAAATTTGCATTAATAGTTCATTCTGCTCGGTTTGGTAATTTCTAATTAGAGTGGTAAATAATTTGATTTCTATATTTTTGATTAGAATTAGAGTTACTAAGGAACTCAGGAGCCCTTACCTCACTATACTGGCTTTAGGTGGGCTACATGTGCAGTAGAGGCTTAACGGTATCAAACGACTAGATGAATGTTTTGTGTTTTGTTTTTGTCTTTCCCAGTTGTGCCAGTCGGAGGAGTACTGGGAGAAGGCGGTGAGGCAGCAGTGTAGCACTCTGCCAGACGAGGTGGTGACTCTGGCCCGCAACATCGGCTGGAGACGCATTTTCTTCACCAACAAACTCCAACTCCAACTGCTCATCAACCGCCACCAGGTCAAGCTTCCAGAAGCACAGGAAGAGGAAGCTGAAGACGAGAATCCACCATCTGAGACACCCGCTGAAGACAAGAGCTCCGACCCCAAAGATGAGAAGTCAGAGTCTAGCGTGACTCCTCCGGAGCAGATGTCCATTGATTCTCTTAGTCCAGTTCTGAGCTTGGATTCTGCTGATAGTTACTCCAGTTTCTACTCTGACACCTTCTCCAGCTCAGGTGATAAGCTCAAAAGTTCACCAGAGGACGTCCTAGAAGATCTGGAGAAGTTCAGCCTGGATCAAGGTGAAAAAGCAGAGATGAAGAGTGAAGATCTCCCCATGAGCCTGAAAATCTAGAAGCTGTTTAGTTAGTTTGCCTGTGAACTAATACTACTGATGACCATAACGTGTTTAACTGCCTAATGTGAAATTTTGTGAATTTGAACTTTGAAATGTTTAATTTTTGTGCACTAATGTTCATGGTGCCATTTACTGATATTTGTTGCATTAAGTGTTATAAATAAAATGATAAACACACGCAACAGCTTTTTATTTTATCAGACATGTTTATTCAGGGCAGCCGCGGGGTCTGAAAAGTCTTAAAAAAGTCTTAAATTTCATGTTCCTCAATTAAGGCCTTAAAAAGTCTTAAATGATGTTGTCCAAGTCATATTTTTTTCACAAAGGTAATACATTTCATTAGCATATTTTTGTATACTCACCCAGGCTGCAGGGCAAAGTTAAATGGAGGGAGGAAAAAAAACAACAGCGTGAAATTGAATGAACGTCTAATTTGGAGTATGGACAAACAATACTTTGGTTTCTGGCAACGGCGGCAATGAGTAAACAATCAGTAGAGTGAACAAGAGTTTGTTGTTGTTGAAAATGTTAAATGGTTGAAGCACTTTGAAAGACAATGTGAGACAAGACAATGTGAAAGGTTATGTTAAGGTTTGTCTTGTTAGAATGTTATAAATGATTTTTGGGCCATTTTACAAGCAATGCATACGACTATAAATGAGTCTTTATAAGTATTTTAGTTTTTGTTATTTAAAGCAGTGAGTACTGGTCATTATTAGGATTGGATCTGGTGTTTTTCGCCTGCATAATGGGTGCGATGTTGGTCTTAATTTTCATTTAGGTGGACTTAAAAAGGTCTTTAAAAAGTCTTAAATTGAGTCCGGTTGGTAACTTGGATGGAGTAGGTGTAGTGCGAGTGTGCTCCGGCATAATTTAGAACTTATTTTTTCATTAAGCCCCCTTTGATCTTAATTTGAATGTATGCTTTTTTGGAGAAGATTCCTACTACTCGTTTGACCCAACCGTGAATATAATTTCTCTCACAATGCCGCCTAAAAGCCAGAGAACTGCCGAGAAGGAGGAGGCGAGTGCTAGCACTAGCTTGTCGATGGAAGCCATTTCGGCCCTACTGGAAAAGCACCGCGAAACTTTGTCTGCTGAATTCAAGTCTTCGCTGACTGGACTAGAAACTAAATTAGACCAGTACAAACTTTTGGTGGATGACCATGACCAGCGCATATCCTCTTTGGAGCTCTCGTCTGACGACATTAGCCAACGCGTTAGCGAGCTTGAAAACGCCGTTTTTTCTCTCCGTGATGACAACGCGAAGCTTAAAGGTTGTATGGAGGATTTTTTTTTGTTTCAAATTGTTAATGATAGCATTATAGAGATGCAGTAGCCTTGTAATTATGATGACCAAAAAAAAGAGAATAAAAATTCATCAACTCTGGACGTGGTGGGGCTAAACATTTGCCAATAGATAACGACACTGCCTCGTTATCTGTTAGCTGACAGGCTGTCAATCAATCTCCCTACGTTTCTAGCGTAACTGACTTGCCTGCGCGCCGCCGGTACGTGGTTTACGTACGCCTGTCACGCAGTCCACAGACGCAAGCCGCACAGACGCTGTTTACTCCACCAACGCAACAGTTCTTAGCGTCTTTTTTTGACCTATATCTTCCTCGCAGTTAGCACAAAGTTTGTTGCAATGGCAGACAAGAATCCAGGAGCAGTTAGCCGCAAAAGAAAGTCCGTTTTTGAGATTGCTGAAAGAAGAAGACAAGGGGAAAAGCAGCGAAGCCAAACTAAGGTGATTCCTGAAGATTCATTCCAGCGATGGCGCGACTGAAGCAGACGCAGGGTCTAAAGACTGACGCACTGGTCGCCAAATTACTCCTGGACAGGTCACTTCTGCTTATTATGAAAACGTACTTTATTTCCAAGAGCTAGTCAAACGTTTTTCAGGACACGAAAGTGATATCCTATGTCTGAAAACGTAATTTTCAATGCAAAGAAAGAGTCCGCTTGCTGCTGCGTGTTGTAGCTAGTTCATTCGCACTGAATCTCTGCGCAACCTTCTCTGCACCCCTTTCCTGCTCCTCTCCCCGCTGCCCGATCCGCTCTTCCCCCTGCTCCTCACTTCTCCGGGCACGGAATCTCCGCGCACCGCTCCCCTCTCCTCTCTCCTCTCCCCTTCCCTGCTCCGCTCTTCTCCCTGCTCCTCACTTCTCCGCCTTGCCTAACCAACACTGTAGTTAGTTGTTTACATGTGCAGCGCACCGGCTGTAAACAAACCTGTTTCTGGCGTAAGGAGGAGGCGGGAGGAGGCGTTTCTACGTAGGAGCTGTAGGGGAGGGGGGGTGGTTTCACGCATGCGCAACATTTGAAAAAGGACAAGGAGGATCGCAGCAGACGCCAAAATATACGTATTCTTGGCTTGGCGGAGTCTACGGAGGGGGGACGCCCTACTGACTTTTTCTCACGGCTGCTTCAGGACGCATTTGGAAAGGACACATTGCCATCCCCGCCGGAGATCGACAGGGCTCATCGCATAGGAGCTGCGAGGCCGGGGCCAGGTGCACGGTCGCGGCCAGTCATTCTCCGCCTGCACCGGTACCAAACGAAGGACCTCCTCATCAGAGAAGCACGACGCAAAGGGATGTTTGACTACCACGGTCAACAGATTCGCATCGTGGAGGATTACAGTGCTGAAGTCATGTCCCAACGAGTACAATACAGGGATGTGATGGCGGAGTTCTACAAGCGGGGTCTAAAGCTCTGCTCTACCCGGCTCGCCTGCGCCTGACGCTGTCCAGCGGTGTCAAGAAGTGGATCGGCAGTGTTGAAGAGGCACAAAAATACATTGATGACCATACCTCCCGACAGCTCGGTCCTACATAGATGGAGAGACTGGACTTTTCCTGGATTCATCTGAAGTGTCAAGATTGGGTAAATTACGGTAATCGCCGTCACTGGCGACTTATTTATGTTCTTTCATTATGTCATAATTCGTTGTCAGTTTACTTTTGATGACTGCCCAATCTACCCTACTTACCATTTTATTTTGATATTTGAACTATATTACTATTTTGTTCAGGTTTATTATATTGTGAAGTAGTATTCATTGTAAATAGTACCTTGGTCTTTTGTTGGGGTAGCATTAAAATATGCTTAGAGTATTTACAATTTTTTATTTTTATATCTATTTTTGGTATAGTTATTCTTATTAAAGGGGGCTGTTATTTTAATTTTATGTAAAATGCTGGAGCTTTTGTAGTTCGATTGTTAAGCATCTGGACGATGGGATATTTGAAGATTTTTACTTTATGGAGCTTGCTGCTTTTTTTAATAGCAGCTGTCTTTTTTGAGAGGGGTGGGGGGTGGGCACCTGTCACCGCAAACAATGGTACTTCAAATTTTTTAGGTAGAACTGCCGGTCACTTTGCCTATTGCTGGTCACCAGGTTGTTGTGAACAATTTTATATCATTCTACATATGCACTATGGTGAATGGTCTTAACATAGTGAGCTGGAATGTTAAGGGCTTAAACCACCCTGTTAAACGGAAGAGGGTTCTCTCTCATCTGAAAAATCTCAAGGCCAAGATAGCTTACTTACAAGAAACCCATGTGCGCACGTCGGACCTGAGTCGTTTACTGTGCTGGTCTGGTCAATCTTTCCATTCCACGTTTCAGGCTAAGGCTCGAGGTGTTTCTATTCTCATTTCTCAAGATATTCCTTTTGAACCACATAATGTACTGTCAGATAATAATGGCCGATATGTTATTCTTTCAGGCAAATTGTATAATACATTGGTTGTCTTAGTTAATGTGTATGCCCCGAATGTGGATGATGCTGATTTTTTCAAACGTTGGTTTTCGTCACTGCCAGATTTGAATTCATATCATCTCATCCTTGGCGGTGACCTTAATTGCTGGCTGGACCCTGTTCTGGACAGGTCCTCGAGCAATCCCGGTACAATGAATAAGTCGACCTGTGTTATTAATGATTTTCTTACAGATTTTGGTGTTTGTGATGTTTGGCGATTTTTGCATCCATATGACAAAGAATTCTCTTTTTTCTCCCAAGTGCATCATTCATACTCTAGAATTGACTATTTCCTCTTAGATAGTCAACTTTTGCCTTTTGTTCATGCTTGTGAGTACCAACCAATTGTTATATCTGATCATGCACCTGTTACACTTTTAGTGCAGCTCCCTGGCTTTCTTCCTGGATGCAGGCAGTGGCGCTTTAATTCAACCTTATTGTCAGATCCCGAGTTTGTAAAATTTATTGAGAAGGAAATAACATTTTTCATACACACCAATACTAATCCGGATATCTCCTTTCTTACTCTATGGGACACTTTGAAAGTTTACCTGCGTGGTCAAATCATTGCTTATACAGTCAGGATGAAACGCAATTCAAGCCGGGAACAAAGCGACCTCTTGCGGCGGATAGGTGAAATAGACAAACAGTACTCTCAAAATAAATGTCCCGACCTATATAAACAGCGAGTTGAATTGAACGCTAGATTTGACCTGCTCACGACCTACCGTACTGAACAACTGCTCTTGAAAAATAAAACCAGGTTCTATACATATGGTGATAAGTCAGATAAATTGTTAGCCAATCAGCTCAAGGGTTTTAGATCTAAACAGGCCCTTTCCAAAATTAAATTGGGCACTGGTCAGATTACCACAGACCCCTCAGAAATTAACACGGCCTTCAAAGAGTTCTATACTCAACTGTATACTTCAGAATTCGGTTCCAATTTAAGTACAATCCATACTTTCTTTGACAAACTTAACATTCCCACACTTTCAACAGATTTTTCAAGAAGATTGGAAGAGCCAATTTCTGAATTGGAAATAATTAAAGCCATAAATACAATGCAGTCAAATAAATGTCCTGGCCCGGACGGGTTTCCGTCAGAATTTTTCAAAACATTTTCAAGACTACTTTCACCATTATTGTGCTCCGTTTTCTCTGTATCTTGTAAATTAGGTCATCTACCCCAATCCTTTTTGGAGGCTTGTATCACACTTATAGCTAAAAAAGGAAAAGACGTGACAAACTGCTCTTCATACAGACCCATATCTCTTCTTAATACAGATGTTAAGGTCCTGGCGAAAGTGTTAGCGCTCAGACTGGAAAATATCCTCCCAACTATTATATCCAAGGACCAGACT